CATGCGTTATAGAAGAGCTGTTGGTCAGCATCTTCTGAAATTTCTGCATATATATATGAATGTATTAATATCAGTCATTTTACCATCAAGAATATAACATTATCAGCAATATTACAGTACTAAATTCTCAGCAGTCTTTATGACTTCTGTTTGTGGAACTAAATATAGGTGTGCAGGCAGGGCTGCATTTGTATCACCATGTACAATGACAACTAACCTAAGTTGTGGTTGCTGCCAATACTTTGCAACTAGTTCTTCTAGTAATTAGATTCAGATGACAAATGATGGGGTATTGTTCTTCAGAAGTCAAATGAATGACTGAGCAGTAAAGCCAGGGTCTCATAGATATTGATTCCTGGCTTGACGAACAGATGCATAGGTCCTGATATAACAACAATAGTTGTATAATTTGCTTGAGATTATGTGTTTGATTGTGTGATTGCTGTAAATATTATTTTCAGTAATATTACTATCAACAATATTTCTATCAGTAGTAATATTACACCAGTAATGTTGCAGTACTATATTATATCAGTAGTAATATTACTTCACCAGTAATATTACAGCACTTAATTCTAAGTAGTCTTTATGACTAATCCTCATGGAACTAAATGTAGACACCCAGTCATGTATTGGATGTATATGCATATATATATATATATATATATATATATATATATATATACATATATTGGATATTTGACTGGCCATTATTTATTGCATATGTAATCATGCTTGATAATTCATACTGCATACACAAAACATTCAAATAGTATATCAATTAACCATATAACCAAAGCATGTCAGACCCAGTGAAAGCTGGACCAAGGGTTCAATGAAAACATTTCTGTGGGTGCCATGTGAGATGCTCATGCCAAGGTTGCATCAGTGTTGTCATGACTGATGTTTTGGCAGCATCATCACATGTTGTGACCCTGTGTAGGCTGCCAGTAAGAAACTGGTTGTGGGTGGGACACATTGGAGTGTTGATGAACATGTGAATATCACCTGGTCTTCCCGCATGTGGCAAGTGCTGTTTGAAGGCAACAGTATGTAATCATTGAATTAAATATAACATGCTCTGTGAGGGAACCCATTGTGTGTTTGATGAATGCTTTTTTATAGTGTGTCATTTACGTGAATAGTTTCAAGTTACTAAGTTGATTAATTCAATGCCATTTCATTCTGTATGTACCTTATTGTGTGATATGTTCTGATTTTGCAATTTGATAACTCCAAATTACCAAATATATGGCCTTAATTTGCTGCCATGTTTGTAACATTCAGAGCTCTCCTTCATGCACACAGGTCTGTTCTGTAGTAGTATCAGTTAAATGTGTGATTGTGTCCTAGCTGCATGGTATTCTTTCTGTGGCTGATGTTTATATACACACACACATATATATGTATATATATTGTCCTGATAGTGTCCCACACCTGTTACCATATCATCCCTTGTTTATTTGGTCACAGACTGACGGAAGCCGGCCGCCATGGATACACCGGAGCCGCGTCACTCCAGCAGTCGGCACAGTGACCTGATGGAGCGCACACTGCAGCGGCTGGACGAGGCCATCCAGAGTCCGTCGGCCATCCTCAGGACGCGCCGCTCCGTCTCCGGCCGGCCCACCAGCCGGCGCTCACGTGGGTTGCAGCAGTGCACAGCTGTGTCGCACGCGGTCAGGTTACAGTGTGGGAGGCCCCGCCACGCCAGCCTCGCCAGATGGCCTCTGGGCGCAGCAAGACTCTGTGTCCACATGCGTCAATGTTTTCAATGTAGCGCACATTGACCACATACCTGCTTTGAATGGCCTAGCAGTGAGTACGGGTCCCCACTCGCGCCATGTGATGCCCCCGGGGATGCGTTGCAGTGGGTGTTCCAGGCGAAGCGCCTGCTGATGACCTGACTATGGACCTGACTTCAACGCGGTCGGCCTCCGCCAGAGTGAGTGCTGACCGGCCTGGCATTATCTGATGTACTGCCCTACCCCTCCCCCGGAAACTCGGGTCACGTAAATATATTGACTTGTTGTGGAGGAAATCGCGCCTGGCTTGTGGTATTGAACTCATTACAATGACTGAGGCATAAGAGTTTGTGGGCAATTAATTTATGCAGTGCCTGTGGTGTACTTTCCAAACACTGGTACGTTCAAACAAGATCTGTCTTTTTGCGCTTTCTAAATCGTAGTAGAACCCATGAGGTTGCCGCGCTCACGACGGCTTGTTGAGTATTAGTGTGTTGCTGCAATCACCTTACCCAGCAGACCATCGAAAACCATGATGCACCATTTAATTGTCTAACCAGACAGCCACTAATTGCACCATTAACCATTTCAGGTGCAATGTGTGATTTGTCTGTGATTGACGATTCCTTGCAAGAGGAAACGGAGATGACGATGCTAATCGATGAGGATCCCGGCGAAAAAGGTAGCCTACCATTGTATACGACTGGCATAAGGGACGTTTGTAATGGATGACAATGTCAAAAACGGCCCCGCCCCGCAATGTGCCATGAACTGTGTGTTGGTAGCATTTCAACCAAACAGCCACTTGTCTCAGAATAATAATATCGTCTCCAAACTACCATTCTCGGTGTAAACGCTGGTTTGAATTTGATCACGCCCACGTCAAACATCCAGCCTCCGGACTATGTCTTTGTGGAGAGTTTAGCCACTTGACCTTTCGCCACACTCGCCGTCTTTCTCTCCCTCTCGCCCACTATTGCCCCTCGGGTGTGACCGCCGGCCGCGGCAGCCGTGGCCAGTCTGTCGGACGAGTTTCTGGAGGCGCTGCAGCGCTATCGGCCCAGCATGAGGTGTTTCGAAACAGCTGGACGACTACCAGCTGCTGACGGAGCGGCATGTGGAGCGCCTGAGCCGGCTGATCCGGCGCGTGCCGGCGCGCCGCGGCGCCACCACCACTGCCCCGCCACACAGCAGGTGAGCCGACCCGCGGGCCCGGAACTCCGCTGCTCTCGCTCTGTCATCCGCCGTCGCGCTGTCAACAGCGGAAGTCGTGTTTGCTCACCTGCACGGGCTGCGCGCGAGGTGCGCGCGGTCTCTGCGCTGTTGTGGTCTCTGCCTCCTGGCGGTTCGGGCAGTCATAGTGGCTGGCGGAGCCCGTATGTGCTTTATGTGATGTCGACTTCGTACATTCCTCGTCAGACCGCTGCGGGTCGCTGCATAAGCTTCTTGACCCGATTCTGTTTGTCATATTGTGTTCTTCTACAACCCCTGTGCTTTTCTCACATAAGTTTGCACTTCTTTCCTACCTGCAAAGTTACCACCCAGATTCCTGGGGATTTGTTCACGGACATCTGGATGTGGATTCCTGCATGTCGCACTCATCTCCGCGTCCGCGGAACCCCGTGGTTGGCTTGTGTGGCGTTCAGCCGTCGAGGCCGAGCGTCCCGGAGCCCCGGCGGCCACCGCCGGCCACCGCGCCTTGTGGCAGCACGGTCTGACCGTCCCCCTCGCCTCCCCCAGCTGCACGAGCACCTCTCGAAGGAGCGTAACACGTGGCGGCTGCTGGCTTCGCTGTACCGGGACAGGCTGCTGGTGCAGTCGGAGGACGTCGGCGCCATGCTGGTGGACGCTGTCAACAAGCCCCTCTCCGACAGCCGCATCGCCGAAAACCTGTTCAAGGGCGACACCACCGTGCGGCAGGTGGGTCAGCGGGTCACTGGCGTGGGTCAGCGGGTCGCTGGCGTTCCACCGGCGGGTCAGCGGGTCACTGGTGTCCCACCGGCGGGTCAGCGGGTCGCTGACGCCTCGCCTGTGCAGTGGTAGACTGCTGCTGCCGTCTTGTGCCGGCGGTGGTTTGCGCTCTCCTTAACAACGTAGGGGTCAGCTGGTGGTGGAGTGACTGCAAATACCGGACTGCGTAAAGGAAGCGACCGCGTGGTTTTCCGGGTATTGTATGGTAGACTGAGTGCAAGAAAACCGGTTGTAACCACGATCCGACGGCTCGAAACCGCCGGAACCCAGTTCCAGCGTCCCCCCCCCCTCGGCACGCTTTTCCTTGCTGTCCACGTTCTAGTCCACGCTGTTCGTTGAGCCGTCAAGCCCGGCTGGCAGTGGTTGGTGACGGCTAAACCCCAGCCGTTCCCCGCCGATCGGCCGCTGTGTGATCGCTGGCGTGCCGTGCGCAGGCTCAAATCGTGGTGGACTGGCTAGAACTGTGCGCCGCCGACGACCTCGTCAGCAGCTACATGGACAAGGTGGAGTTCTTCGGCAACACGGCCGTCGCCTGGGAGAATACATTGCACGCGCTGCAGGCGCCGGCGCCGCCGGCCGGCCTCACCGAGAGCATGGACCCGGACGGACCCGTGCGAGAGGGCTCCAAGCTGCATGACCTGGACCAGGTGAGAAGCGTCCGTCCGACCGCTGCAGCCTGCTGACAAAGGCGGCGGCGGTGTGACGGAACGTGCCCGTGACGTGTCGTGGCCGACGTTAGCCTGCTTCACTTCCCTGCCCCGTGTCAGGTGAGCGTCCGGTGAGCAGGGAGCGGTCCGGACGAGCCCGGTGACCCATCTGACGAGGCTGAAGGATACACAGAAGGGGATAAGTGAGCCGCACAGCCAGTTCGCTGGTCTGCACGAGGCTTGGACCGATGGTCAGGGCGATACCGGGGTCGGAGCGCCATAGCTCTGACCTGTGCTTGCGTCATGTGTGATCTCCACTCCGTGGCTGACCTCTGACCCTTGTGCGACCCCGCGTGACCCCGTGACCCCGCGTGGCCGGCAGGACGACGAGCGCCGCCTGCTGCGTTACATGTTCGTGCTGGTGAGGGCCGGCCAGATGGCGGAGGCCCAGGAGCTGTGTCTGAAGGTGGGCCAGCCGTGGCGCGCCGCCGCGCTCGAGGGCTGGAAACTGCACCACGACCCCAACTTCGAGCAGCCCTCCGTCGCAGCCCAGCCGGTGCAGGGCAACCGGCTCCGGTGAGTGAGACAGCCGGCTGGTGCGGGACGGGCGGGTGGTACCGGAGCACCCGTGCGGTGCCGCCCACCTTACCTTAGTCTGTCCACATTTTGCCATTTGTGTCTTTCCAACCCAATACTTGTGCTTGTGTGCTTTTCCTCGGCGAACATTTTTCAGTGCGTTCTTTTCCCCTCAATCAATTTTTATCCCTACCACCATACGCCTTCGATCATTTGCACCGGATATCACTCTCGCCGTTTTCTCTCACCATTTTCTCGCTGGCCCGTTCTCTATCATTCCATCCCCTGCGTGCGGCATGATTCCATTTCAACAGTAGCCTTACGATGTCGTGCTGGGCGAATAGCTCCCGCGCCCGTGGTCCGTACCGCGGCCGTGATGAAGCCGGCCCGCTGGCACACCGTGACCGGCGCCGCTGGCTGTGCGCCCGTGGTCCATGCCGCGGCCGTGATGAAGCCTGCCCGTTGGCACGCCGTGACCGGCGCCGCTGGCTCTGCGCCCGTGGTCCGTGCCGCGGCCGTGATGAAGCCGGCCCGCCCACGCACCGTGACCGGCGCCGCTGGCTCTGCGCCCGTGGTCAGTGCCGCGGCCGTGATGAAGCCGGCCCGTTGGCACGCCGTGACCGGCGCCGCTGGCTCTGCGCCCGTGGTCCGTGCCGCGGCCGTGATGAAGCCGGCCCGCCGACGCACCGTGACCGGCGCCGCTGGCTCTGCGCCCGTGGTCCGTGCCGCGGCCGTGATGAAGCCGGCCCGTTGGCACGCCGTGACCGGCGCCGCTGGCTCTGCGCCCGTGTGACGTGACGTGACTTGCCGCCGGGCCGCCGCCAGGGATCTGTGGAAGCTGGCCGCCTGGCAGCTTTCGGAGGACGTGCGTCACGACGTGCACGAGCGCGCCCTTCTGGCGGCGCTGTGCGGTAACCTGGCCGTGCTGCTGCCCGTCTGCGTCTCCTGGGAGGACCGCGTCTGGGCGCACTTCAAGGTCAGCTGGCGCGTCGCCGGGCCAGCGCTTCAAGGGACTGTGGCGCGGGGCGCCCGGGCTAGCGGCCGATGGTTTCATCCGGATCGTGATCAGGGCAGGATAGTACGGTATGGCAGGCATGTGTCAGTGGCCGTCTCTACTCGACGGACATGTTCATGATGTGTCATTTTCCCCATCTAAAGGAATTCTCCATTTGAAGAAATTTAAGCAAGTGCCAGATATGATAAACTAAGCTCACTTTCAACTATTAGTACACTTTTAAGTGGAAAAGACTGCGCTAGACGACATAGTTTCTCTGTTTAGTAAATGTCCTCAATACGTTATTGTTTGATGACAGAATTGTACATTGCACAACACTGATTGAGAGCCAACTGATGGCCGTTATGTCTGGATGTCGTGCCCATGAACGCCAGATATGAACGACTCGACAATTATATTTGTCTTGGCCTTGATCGCCGCATGACTAATGGAATGACATAATTTGAATGACGTTTGTATGACATGGATGCCCGGGTGACCTCGAAATAGCCCCCTGCCTGAAATAGTTTGTACATCTTCGCGGGCGTTTAGAACAGAAACTAACGGGGTTTAGACCTTATGGAGGACGGGGCTTTGAATTGCACGGAACGATCTTCAATTTGACCATCTCAGTTGAAAACCCCATACGAATTGTGAAAAACTCCCCTTAAAAGGTACGCGCTCTGACGGCTCCATCACAGCAACTTTGTCGCCATTGTTCCCCTGCTTCCGATCATGCGATGTAATTTTTAAGCAGCCTGAGGCATAGCGATGCTCAGTCTGCGCTACATCATCGGGTGTTCTAAGGCTTGGTAAACAAGCGCTGACAGTGTCTTGCCATATGTCGCAAGACGCCCACAAGGCGTCAGTGAGCGCTGACAGTGTCTTGCCATATGTCGCAAGACGCCCACAAGGCGTCAGTGAGCGCCGACAGTGTCTTGTCATATGTCGCAAGACGCCCACAAGGCGTCAGTGAGCGCTGACAGTGTCTTGCCGTGTGTAACAAGACGCCCACAGGCATCAGGGGCGCCGAGCCGGATCAGTGCGCGTGACGCCGGCGGTCAGCTGTGCGCCGCCGCCGGTCGCCGGGGTCTGTAGCGTTCCGCCCCCGTCGCGCAGGTGTTCGTGGACTCGCGGGTGGAGGCGGAAGTGCGAGCCAACACGCGGTCACTGCGGGACCTGCATCCGCTGCCGCCGCACTACCCGGCCGACAGGTCAGCGGCGGCTCCACAGCCGGGCGGGCTGCCGACGCTGACAGGGCGCGGTCAGACTGCTTGTGACGTAATAGCGTGTGGTCCCTTGAGCTCGGAACATGTAGGTTGCATGGATACTGCGAGGAACCACCTCATCGTTTTATATTGGGCAAACGTCAAACGCATAAGAAATCGATGTTAAGTCCTGACTTCTGATGTGTGATTTCTGTTCTCAAACTAATATAAAGCTGGTAGTTGAATATATTGCTGCATCTTGAACCCTTTGTAAAGGGTTAACGTTTTAAACCTGATATATCGTGCTGCACATACCTGATATCCACTTTATCGCAAGTCAGCAAAGTTAATGTGAGCCGAAGTCTTCTTCAGCTTGCTGACGAGTGCCCACCTTCACGGGTGCATGGGTGCGTGGCATACTAATGCCACTAATAGTGAGTGTCAGACTTCAAAGCGCCAGTGTAAGAGCGCGTGGCGCCGCCGCGTCTGACCGCTGGGCGTGCCGCAGCGGGTCGCTGGCCAGCATGTTCGCGGACGTCGCCGCGCTGGAGGGCAGCGAGCGCCAGCCCGACCCCGTGGTGCGGCTCTACAACACCATACAGCGCTGCGCCATCCTGGGCGAGGAGGCGACCATGGTGGCGGAGATGGCCGCCTTCTGCGAGGTCGGTGAGCCCGCGCCGTTCCGCCGCTGACGTCCGGCTACCCAGCACGAGCGGCTTCGGCCGCATCGTGTGCTCCGTGGCGCTCTGGAGGCTGCGTTGACCCCATGCTGTGACGCTCGGTCATGTGCTCACCCTTGCCCCAGGTTAACCCTGCTGTGATCTGTGACCTGTGTTTGGCCTGTTTGGTCTGTGACCGTGGCCTCGAAACGTCGGTCGTCACCAGGAGCACGAGGGCAGTGAGCAGCTGCTGCGCTCGCTAGCGCACATCGTGCTGTTCGTGCGCCAGTGCGCCGGCGACGACGTCTCGCACGAACACTGCGTCACCGTCCTACAGGCCTACGTCGAGGTGAGGCCGGCTCCGTCTGGGGATGTGGCCAGCGTCGGCCGACTGCGCGGCCATGCGCCGAACGCAGTCAGCGGCGGCGCGAGAGCCGGCTTTTTGTCGCGCTTACTGTCGTGCCGCATGAGGTATTTTCATTTAGATACACCGGTATTTGTGCATGTTAGCTACAGGCCGGGCGGGATTTTTGTCAAGACACCTGCCTTTGGTGGTCGCTCTCATTTGTTGCTTGGTTGCGACTTTTCTATGTCGAGCCGGCGAGCACCGTCCGCTATGGATATATGCTCGGCATGGATGGGCCGCAAGTGTCACTCGTTATTCCGGCTTCGACGTCTTATAAATCCTGAGGCTGAATTGGGCGTCTAGGAATTATGAGTACTGGAGGAGATTTTGTCGTATCACTGCTGAGCAGCCAGGTTGTCGCTGCCGCGTCGTTCCCAGATCGTGCCCGTTCGAGACGTGCCCAGCCTGTTTGCCTGCAACGCGTGCGTGCCAGCTTTTGTCTGGTGGGCTGCCCGTCCGCTGTTGCCGCGTCGTTGTGAGGTTGCACGGACAGGACAGCCAGTGTGACGTTGCTGCTCCGATGTCAGGCTGTGCCCGTCGGTCAGCCGGTTTGCTGTTGCGGTGTTGATGAGCGTCTGTACGTGCTGGACAGCCGGTTTGCTGTTGCAGCGGCCGTGTGAGTTGGCGCCTCGTGGGCGGCCCACTGTTCGGCGCGCGCGCGCTGCAGCGTCCGGCGTGAGCGCGGACTGTGACGCGCGTCTGCGGCCGGCAGAGCCTGGTGCGGCGGCGGTCGGTGCCGCTGGTGGCGGGCTACGCCTGCCTGCTGCCGCCGGCCGACCAGGTGCGCTGGTACGCGGCCCTCCTGCAGACCATCACCGAGCCGGCCGAGAGGCTGGAGGCGCTGCGCCTGGCGGAGCGGGCCGGCCTGGACGCGCCGGCCGCGGCGCTGGCCGTGGTGCGCGCCGCGCGCCGCCAGCCGCCCGCCGCGCCCGCCGCCGAGTTGGCACCCGAGACCAGCGACGACGACCGGCGCTGTCTGACGGCCGTGCAGTGGCTGCTGTTCGAGCCGAGCCAGCGGCCCGACGCCCTGCGTGAGGCGAACGCCGTGTGCCGTCGCCTGCTGCTTGCCCGCAAACTGCCGGCCGCCCGCGAGCTCATGCGGCAGGTGAGAGCGGCGGCGGAGGAGCGGCAGGGCGTGGGAGGCGGGAGCGGCACCCCGCCGGGGACCGTGGGGACCGTGGACCGCGCGCCGAGCTGGCGCCGAGACCGCTGGTGAGGAGTCGTGACGTGACGGTTCTGGGAGATTTGTGTTCCATGTGGCTTGTATGTTGATTTTGGGAATGCTTGCCGTTGGTTCCCAGCAACAGATAATGGCGGGAACCGCTTGATGATATCCTGGATATTCGGCGCAGTGGACGCCGCGCGACTGTGTGTGGTTGTCAGCGCTGGGCGGCTGACACCCAAACCACGCCGTCGGTGCAGCGGCACCTCTGGTGCGTCGCCGTGGGTAGCCGTTTTGAGCGCTGGCCACCACCTCTGGCGTGTTGAGCGTCGCGTGGCGGGGGTGTGCCGCGGCACCTGTGAGAGCGCTGTGCGCCACTGCCGGGCCGGCAGATCCCGGACGACAGTGTGGCCACCGTCCTCGAGCTGTGGAAGGCCTCCTCCAACGAGACCGAGCTGCCACCGGACCAGGACAATGTGATCAAGGAGCACCTCTGCGTCAAGGCGTTCCTGGTGAGCTGGCCCCTCACGGCACCGGTGCCGCAGCGCCGATGGTCCGGTGGACCTGGCGCCGCCGCGGGCTGACGTCGCGTTCTGTCGCGATCCGGCGAGTCTGGTACCGCTGTGGGGCGGCCCTTGCGCTGCTGTGGGGTGGCTCCAGGCGCCTCTGAGATCTGGCAAGCCCCGCCCCTTATGCTGTCATTCTTCAACAGGCACAGTTCGGCACTACCCTCGCGCGCGCGCGTGTAAGGATCGTTGGGATGCGGCGGTGTCCTGCTGCCTTAGCTGTCGCGTTCCCCAACTGTGCTTGACGTGCTGGACTGACCATAAGGGCATTCGTCCTCTCCAGCTGCGTAAATCGGCTGTGCCCTCAATCGCTCTCTGACGTACCTCTGCGTCTGCTAGCGTCCCCCAACGCCCCCGCCCGCCCCGGTACGCTGACGCCATGCCCCATCCAGTTGGGGCAGGATGCGTATATCGACTGGTCGGAGCAGTTTTACAACCAGCGGCCGCGCCAGCCCGAGCTGCGAGAGGGCGCCTCCTTCACGGAGACGGTGGCGCACGAGCAGCGGCTCAAGCAGTACCAGTCAGCCGTGGAGCGATGGGAGACGGCGCATACCGCCATCACCAAGGTGGGGCAGAGATAGCTGGTGACGACGCCACCGTTTTCCTGGGATGTCTGGATTGGCTGGCACTAGTGTGTTGCGTATAACACGGGCATAAAACGTCACAAGTTGTGACGTTCCATGCATAGCCGTTCATGACGTGATGTCACCCAGCTGAGTTTCCGCTGTGCTTGTGTTTGTGCTGGCCTCATGGTTGTAGGCTCCAGAGCCGGAGCGCTGCGTGCGCCAACGCCTTCGGCTGTCCGTAACGTCTCTGTCTCCGTTCTCAGACGACCACCGAGCGTCTGTACAATGTCCTCATGTTCCCCGACGGCGGGTGGATGGCCGACCGGCCGCAGGCGCCGGCAGCACCGCCGTCGGCCGTCGACGGGACCGAGGAGCCGGCGCGGCAGCAACAGATGGCGGACCTGCGCCGGCTGTACGTGCCGCAGACGGTGGCCGTCCTACACAAGGTGCTGCACAGCAGCCAGCGCCTGAAGGAGGCGACGCAGCTGGCCGACCTGGTAGCCGGGGAGGAGTACCAGCTGTACAAGGTACGACCGGGAGCGCCATCAGCCGCCTGCTGTGCAGGGCACGGAGGGCGCCGTAAGCGCCAGCGACACACGGTCGAGTGCGGTACCCGCTGTGCGAGATACGACCGGGAACGGTCCACCTGTGGATTGTACATCTGTGTACGGTGTCAGCAGTGAGCAAGGTGCGAACGGGTGTGGAGCATGATATATGCAAGGCGTAGCCGAGTGCGTCGCCAACAGTGTACAGGGTACGCGTAGGTACGGGGTACCAGCTGTTCAAGGCATGAGGCCAGCGGTACGACCGGCTCCGTACCGGTTGCACTGGGTATGGATTGGTGCCGTGCCAGCTGCGAAACTAACGCCAAAGGTGCTGCTGGGCGCCTAATTAGTAGTGCTGCGCGTACAAGGCACGGCTTTCGGACAATCCGCGGGTAAAGCCAGGACGACTTATTGGACGTCGGGTGACGGATGTTGGGTGTCTGGACTCCGCCGGGGTCGGCGGCGCATAATGACCTGTCGTGTCGGCTTGCCGGACCTGGCTGACGCTCGTGTGTCGGCTTGCCGGACCTGGCTGACGCTCGCGTGTTGGCCTGCTGGACCTGGCCGACGCTCGTGTGTCGGTGAAAACCAGTGAGCCTGACGCCGCTCTGATTGCCGCCTGTCGCCGTTCCAGGAGTTCAGCCAGCTAGAGCTGCAGAGTCTGCTGGGTAAGCTGCGCGAGACTTCGCTCGAGCTGCTTGACCAGAACCTGGACGCCCTCGGCTACCCGTTCCAGTGAGGCCGGGGCGGCGGCTCGACGGCGGCGCCGCTGGCCGGGACCCGCCGGTGCCGCCACGGCGACGGGTGCGTCCCGCGGTGGTGACACCTCTGTGTCTCTCGTGTCCGGTCGCCCGCACGCGGTCTGCTGTCCCTACTCTCCGGGTGCTCAGGTGAACCTGTGGCGTTCCGGTGAACCCGTGGCGCTGAGGTGCACTCGTGGCGCTCAGGTGCATCCGGGGCGCTCAGGTGAACCCGTGGGGCTGAGGGAACCCATGGCGCTGAAGTGAGCCCGTGGCGCTGAGGGAACCCGTGACGCTGAAGTGAATCTGGGGCGCTCAGGTGAACCCTTGGCGTCGGCGCGCTCAACTGGCTTGAACCACGCGGTGGCCTTCGCCGCATCGAGGCCCGTGACGTCATGTCAAAGTGCGCAGAATGGCATGTGTCGTGGGCGCTCTTCACACCGCTATGGCGGACTCAGTTTTTTGTTGGAATACACGGCTGGCTTATTACACTAGGCTCTCCCGACGTGATGCCTGTCAGGCTCTTCCCGGTTCAGCGCAGAATAGCGCGACCTGTTCGCTGCGGGATCACGCCACGGCCGACCGACGTCAGACGAGCGCAGCTGCCGCCAGGTGCCGAGAAACCGATGCCGTCGGCGCGCTCTACAGTCAGCGCCGCGGGCGCTCCGGCCTAATGAGGATCAGTCGCCGGCCGGTCGGACGACCTTTCTTTTGCGTGCCGTCCTGTCTTGTAAACAGACGGCTAATGATGTCTGCCGGTGCTTGTCAGGCGGTGCCATGTCTGCCCTCAGCTCTGGGCACGGCTGCCGATGGCGGCAGCGGCACCACCCGCCACCCTCGTGCGGTACCCGGCGCCGCCGCGACGACAAACGACACGCGGGTGAGGGGCTGCGGTGTATTTCTGCGGGCCCGCGCGGCCGCGGCGTAGCCGGTGGCGCCGGGGCGACGCCGCACACACCCACGCCTCGATTGTACGCTTTGAGCTGTGGGCCGGTCGAGACGGAGCGGGGCGGGCTGGCCGTGACCGGCGGCCGACCGCGCGCCCACCGGCGCCACGCCGCGCGCGCCGGGCGCCCCAAGCCTACCGACGGCACTACTGGAGCCCGGCCACTGGCCACCCTTAACCTAGCAAGAGTCGCAGGAGGGCGAGGGACGTCGCGGCGGGCCGGCGCCCGCGGCGCCGCCGGCTGGCGGCTCCTGCGCCGTATCTACAGTCGGCTGGGCCCGGCTGGGCCCTCCGGCGTATCTACAGGTGACGGCGGCAGCGGCGCGCGCCGCGGCCGCCACCGTGCCGCCCTCCTCTCACTCGCTCCCCCCCCCCCCTCCGTGGCGGCCTCCTCGGGGTCATCTCCGGCGGCTCGGCCGGCGCATCTGCAACCAGGACGCGTCGTCAGTCGGCGCGCTCATGCGGCATTCGCTGACTGCGCTGATGTTCGCCCGCGGACAATGGAGGATGGACGGCGAAGCAGCGGGACAGCTGGGGGACCACGGAAGCTGATCCACAGCGACAACTGACGCTGCCGCAGGAGCCGATGGACACGGACACATGACACTGACAGAGCCGAGGACACAGCACAGCTGCAATTGATCGGGACCGACGGACACTGGTCGCATCACGTTGATACAACACCCCACGGATAGTGGTGTGGCAGGTGTTAATAGGGCGGTATGTGAAATGCAGCAGAACAGACACCAGTGAACCAACAGTGCAACAGATGCCGGTGAACCAACAATGCAACAGACGCTGGAGATCCCACCATGCAACAGACGCCGGTGAACCAACAATGCAACAGGCGCCGGTGATCCATCAATGCAGCGGACGTCGATGACGCAACAGATCAACAGACTCAACAGGCGCAACATCGTACCAGACGCAACAGACGCTGCCAGGGCAAACTTGGGCGTGGCAGTCAGGTGAGGATGAACTTGCGAACAGTGATATTCAAAGCCGAGTCTCATTTTGCAAACCACGCGAAGAGATGGGGTGATGCAACGCAGGTGTTTTCGTTTTGCAAGCCAGCTGACTCGGTCATTTCGAGATGTGACAGACTGGGGGGCTTGACATAGAGCGCCTTATGTGGTTTCAGCTTCGGTAAAATAGGCAAATTTCGAAGATTCCTCGGATTCCAACGCCTCTTAATAAACACACCCGACAACGCGTCCAAAAATAGTCCTGTGCATCCCGTCCTGTTCCATCGTCCCTTGCCAGCTCTTCTCAGTGAAAATCACATGTGGAAACGCAAGAACTAACAGGTGGTGACGCAGCCGGTCGGCGCAAATGACGCCCAGCGCCGGTGAGGGCTGCTCAGTTCACAGGGAACATCGTAGTTTACGTGGCACCCAGGACCCACGGCTATAATATTTGTAGTGAAGAGGCGGACGATACTGTATACCGCTTACAGGAAGGCACGAGAACATAAGCGTTCTGAGGCGGCTTGGGACGAACCACACCAAACGTCTACACAAGGTCAGCATTGTTGTAGAGCATCACTCGGCGGCTTCCAATCGCACAGCCATCCACTTTTACGACAACAGCGCACGGTCGAGTCGCCGACAAGGCCTACTCGAACGAGACGGCAGTATAGGCGGCGTACAAGTCATCGTCTCATCCCGTTTCTCGTACAGCCTCCGCCGGCCAGAGGCCGCTGTTCGGCGGCGGCAGGCTGGGTCACTGCGAGGAGGCATCACCAGTGACGACTGATCGATGGCGGCCACACCACTGACCGATGGCGGCCACACCACTGACCGTTGGCGGCCAGATGGCGACGTGCGCGCCACGCTCGGCCGCTGCCAACTGACGCCGGCCGGTTAACGACTGCGGTACGGCAGACCGCTGACCGACCGCACCGGGATGTCCCCGTGAGAGGCCCTGCCGCCGCCCTGAGAGGATACCCCGTGAGAGGCCCTGCCGCCGCCCTGAGAGGATACCCCCGTGAGAGGCCCTGCCGCCCCGGGGCACGACTCGATGCCACCGCATGGGGAGGAGGGAGCGGGAGACTCTGTTTCCCGTCCGGTTTATCAGGATGCAACGCACAGCCGGCGTCCGACTCAGTTGCTGATTTATCGAGGCACAGAACCATGGAGGCTTTACAGAAGCAGAGAATTGCTCTCATATCAGTGATGCAACCAGAATGTGTGGTGTGTGGCGTTGCACTGGGGCTGGCCGGTAGTCGCTGTATCTCACCCAGCCATAACGGCCACCTGAACACCTGACACCTTCAGGAGGTCGCTGGCGAGCCCCGTGTCATGGCCGCTGTCAGCCGATGTATTTCGGGCGCATCGCTCACACCAACCGACTGAGCGGCTCTCATCACTCGCAGCGTCTGGAAACATTCATGTGGCAGCTCAAAGCCAGGCAGTTATCTTGGATCTGACCTTGATTACCAAGCCTCTCAACCCAGCCGGCCGCTCTGCTCCGTTCCTCCACGACAGTGTCGGGCATTTCAAAGGCGGGCGGCATCGCCATGACACCGAGGGACAAAAGCTGCCGTTGCCGACCGTATTACCGGCCGTGAGAGTTTTCGCTTTCAGACCACTACGCTTTCAGCGGAGCCAACATCCACCGCAGGCGGAGAGGCTGGGTTTACGACGGCGTCACGTGGAGCCGCGGTGTTGCTCGTACCTTTGTGGGGCTGACTGCATCTCCGACGGTACATATTTCATCTGTGTTCAGGACCGGGTCATGGGTGTGGCACCAACGTGATGGTTTTGGCTGGATATTGGACGACACAGTATCAATCTGTGCGGTGCCACCCGTGTCAGACTGGTTTCATTTCACGCTGCTAAAGACGTAAGGCAGGAACGTTTATCCAGGATTTGGCCGACATGTACAATAAGAGATGATGCCTAAGACCATGGCCTGTCCAGACATGAGATGTTCCAAACGCGCAGTGTCACCGGCGTCGGCGCGGCCGCACCGCGCCTGGGCCGCCATCCCGAACCGCGGCGCGCCTCACCATTTACGACTTGGTGACGGAGAGCCGGCGCGCGTTAGGCCGGTCGTAGTCCTCCATGCTCATGGAGCGGTTTCTGCCGGTGGCGCCGGCGCCTCCGCTGCTGTTGGAGAGGGTGCGGGTGCGCGGGTTCACCGCCGTCAGCACGCCCAGCCCCTTGCAGAACAGCAGCAGGGTGTTGGCAAACTTCTCCGGCTGCAACGGCACCAGACAACAACCGGTCTCAGCACGGAGGCGGCAGCGGCCAAGGCACTAGAGGAGGGACGAGCTACCACACCTCGCTGCAAGAGCGGCGTCGCAAGAGAGGCACGCAAGGAGAGCCAGTGAAAGTGGAAGGCGACAGCGACAGAGTCGGTGCGTTCCTCCATACGTCCGTCACACATATCATGCGTTGGTCCTTCCCGTGATACGATTGGGCAGTCGTTCACAATTGTAGCACGGGGGCAGCTGTATACGAGGGTGGTGGCCGCCACACAGGGGTGGTAGCTTTCACACGGGTGTGGCCGCCACACGGATGTAGCCGCTACACGGATGCAGCCGCTAAAGGGGTGTGGCCGCCATATGGGTGTGACCAACGTGCAAAGATAGCGTGCCCTGACTCAGCTCGTCTAATCCGTTTAGCACATTTTAGTACCATTGATGACACGCCGCCTTATTAACGGCTGCCTGTAATTAGTCTCGAAATAATGGCTTCAATCAAATTTAAATGGCTTGCTTGTCTGGTAAAATGCAAACGTTATTGCCACGTGAACGAAACCTCTCCATTCGCGCAACGGCCATAACATGAAAACGCCTTGGTTTTAATGAAGATCTGAAGGGCTAGAATAAAACCTTGCTTTTCCATGCCAGGTCCTCCTGATCGGCTTCCGCTACCTTCCATTGATTTCGTTCGTTTCAAGGAGAAACACTTTGGGATGGGAGACGAGGTTGCTCGAGTCGGGCTGGGACAATGAACATCCCTGAGACATAGGGGTCAGCGCTGCACAACATCCTGAGAGACAAAAGTTGGTTCTCCCTCAAAGACACGGTCCGCGACAAGAGACAGGAGACAGGGGTCAGGGGACAGCACTCGGAGCCGCTGACCACCATGACACACGGCGGCATCGGCCCCGGTGGCGTCGGCCCCGGCGTCGCTCAGCGCCCTGATCGCCAGAGGTCCCGCCCTGACCCCCCCCCCCCGTCCCCTGTCCTCACGAGGCCAGCGGCGGGCTCCGACCGCTGACTCACCGCCTCGATCAGCACGTCCCCTACGTCGTCCAGCTTGATCAGGGATGACTTGGCCTTGTTCATATGGGCGTGCATGGTGTGCACGGTGTGTGGTTGTGAGATGCCTTAGCCCCCGTCACGAGGAGCGTGTCCATCTTTCAGGTCGCCGACCAGCGCCGAGAGGTCCGTCCGACTGCAGACGCACCCAGACCGGGTCAGTATGACCTCCGTGTGGCAGGTCGGGTCAGCACGAGGAAGTGTTAGGTCAAAATAATTTAGGTCGGCGCGATGAAGGATGAAAGGACGCTATAACGATCAACGCCAACGCACACGATGATCAATAGTCAATGATCTAACACACAGCGCATTGACCAGCGATCGATCGACGCCGTAAGATACAGTGGCGGACAGTAAGACGCAGGAGGACACTGTGACAGGTGCACACCGAATGCGAACGGGTCGGTTCCACATCAAATCGTCTTCCCCACAGCTGAAGCGTGGCCACTTGCGTTCTGGGGGGGACCACAGCTGAAGCGTGGCCGCTTGCGTTCTGGGGGGGGGACCACAACCGAAGCGTGGCCGCTTGCGTTCTCGGGGGGGGGGGGGGGGGGCAGGGAGCATTAAGCTCAGCAACTAACATTCTGTCTAACATATTTGAACCACGACTTTGGAGCAACCAAGATTTGCCCTTGCGAGTAACAACAGAAGCGAATTCGCGTGGCGAATGTTGCATGGCGAAATCAATGATGTGAAGAATACATCACCTTTTGCCATTTCACTGCTTTTAATGACTATTGAGCGATTTGGCTACCACAATCACCCCGAGGGGGCCGAGGGGCGCGGACGGGAAGTTGTGCAGCCAAAGCCCCTCCCCTCCATTCTCCTCCCGGTATGCGCACCAGACACGCAACTTCTTCCCGAACCGCAACCCGCAGCCCACCCCGTGCCGCCCGAGATTGGGCAATGACCGTAAAAGCCGATACATCACCGCCCTGGTCCAGCCTTAGTCCGCGTGCTCTTTGGAGACCACATTCGGTACAGGGTCTTAAATCTAGCAGCTTGCATCAACTCAAGATTGAAGCAAACATAACAGCTTGCCGCACGTAGTCCATTACTATTACAAATTAATTGTCAGGAATTACAAGTTTGTACATTTCATGAATTCAGCCAGGGACTCACTGTAAGACAGTTGCCACAAAACGTTGGCAGACTTTTACAAACAGATTGCTTAGACAGCCTTCAAATAGCACACTTCCGTCTCAACAAACCATTCCTGGGGAACAATTGGTTCCCCTTACATGCACACTGTTGCAACATGTTCTGCAGAGCACATATCGAATGACGTCAGACAGTGCCTGCGGCTCGAGCTTATCACCTGTTACATAACACGCCCCGCTCCTGCACGTCGTAAAGCCTTTGCATGTTTATGGTCTTTATAGCATAGCTCTTCCATATAGCACAACCTTTGTATTGTCCTGGACGTAGTTTTGCAACCGTAGCCCTTCCTTAATAGCGGAGCCTTTGCATTGTTATGAACGCCCATCGGATAAGCTCCCTGTCAATTGCATTAGCAGCGGCAGGGAAACTCGCTTCGAAAACGAACAGAAATAGCACAGGATGCGCAAGTGCGGCCCATTTCTCCACGGGAAGCCCACAGTAGGACGTCTTTTTCCAATACCACCGGAAGGCAAGACAGAAACGACCCCGCCGCCGGCCCGGCTGGCCGGCGGCGGCCGCCAGCCCGGCGAGATCGAGCCGCCCCCCCCCCCCCCCCCGCCCCCTGGCGGCTTCCTCCCCCTCGACCCGGCGGCGGCCGATCAATGACGCTGCGAATCCGATGGGCCGCACCCCGGCCAGCTGGCCCAAATTCGAGGAACAGCCGAGTCGGCGGCCGAGTTAGGACAGCGGTTGGACAGGGCCGCAACCGAGGCAGGGGAGAGGCCGGACAAGGCATCAGCCGAGGCGGGGTAGCGGCCAGACAGGGCCGCAACCGAGGCAGGGGAGAGGCCGGACAAGGCAGCAGCCGAGACAGGGCAGCGGCCAGACAGGGCACCGGTCGGACAGGGCAGCGGCCGGACAGGGCAGCGGTCGGACAGTGCAGCGGCCGGACAGGGCAGTAGCCGGAACAGGGCAGTAGCTGAGACAGGGCAGCGGCTGGCCAGGGCAGCGGCTGGACAAGGCAGCAGCCGAGGCAGGGGAGCGGCCGCACATGACAGGAGCGGAGGCAGGGGAGAGGCCGGGACAGGGCAGCAGCCGAAGGCAGGGGAGAGGCCGATCAGGGCAAGCAGCCGAGGCAGGGCAGCGGCCTGCAGGGCAGCAGCCGAGGCGGGGGAGAGGCCGGGACAGGGTACCAGCCGAGGCAGTGCAGCGGCCGGACAGGGCAGCGGCCGGACTGGGCAGCAGCCGGGGCAGAGCAGCAGCCGGACAGGGCAGGCGCGAGACAAGGGAGAGGCCGGACAGGGCAGCAGCCGAGGCAGCGAAGCAACCGGACAGGGCAGGAGCCGAGGCAGGGAGAGGCCGGGACAGGGTAGCAGCCGAGGCAGTGAAGCAACCGGACAGGGCAGCAGTCGAGACAGGGGAGAGGCCGGGACAGTGTAGCAGCCGAGGCAGGGGAGAGGCCGGGACAGGGCAGCAGCAGCGGGGCAGGGGAGAGGCCGGGACAGGGCAGCAGCCGAGGCAGGGGAGAGGTCAGACAGTGGAGCAGCCGAGGCAGGGGAGAGGCCGGGACAGGGCAGCAGCCGAGACAGGGGAGAGGCCAGGACGGGGTAGCAGCCGAGGCAGGGGAGAGGCCAGGACAGGGCAGCAGCCGAGGCAGGGGAGAGGCCAGGATAGGGCAGCAGCCGAGGCAGGGGAGAAGCCGGGACAGGGTAGCAGCCGAGGCAGGGGAGAGGCCGGACAGGGTTAGCAGCCGAGGCAGGGGGGAGAGGCCGGGACGGTGGTAGCAGCCGAGGCAGGGGGAGAGGCCAGGACAGGGCAGCAGCCGAGGCAGGGGAGAGGCCGGAACAGGGTAGCAGCCGAGGCAGGGGAGAGGCCGGGACAGGGTAGCAGCCGAGGCAGGGGAGAGGCCAGGATAGGGCTGCGCACGGGGCGGACATCAAAATGCAACACAAACATGTCGCGGAGACAGGCCGCGTTCGGTCCGTCACAACCCAAGGGGTCATAGCCGGGACATAGGCGGATCGCGGACAGGTTACAGGTGAACCATAAACAGGACACAGGCGTAGCGCATACACACAGACGAGCACATGTGAACCAAGGGCAGGATCGGACGAAAGACAACATGTACGCGACACAATAGGTCATTTGTAGGTCACATGTGAACTATGGGCAGGATCGAACACAAGACAAACATACACACGACACAATAGGTCATTTGTAGGTCACATGTGAACGAAAGGCAGGCTCGGACACAAGACAAACATATACGCGACTCAATACGTCATGTGTACGCCACATGTGAACCAGGGGCAGGATCGGACGGGAGACAAACATATACGCGACACAATGGGTCATTTGTATGCCACATGTGAACCAGGGGTAGGATCGGACACCGAGACAAACGTAAAGGAGACCAGAGGCGAATCCAGAGGGCCCGCACCTATGGGGGAGGGGGGTCATTACCACGGGGTCATGGTCCCCCCGTTGGGCCTCGAAGGGGCGCATCGGTTCCGAGAGGGCCCAAGAACAGGCGACCAAGAACAGTTGCAAGAGAAAGTGAAGGGCCCACGAGCACATAAACATTATTATTCACTGATTGAGAGAGTGGCGATTTGGAGGTCTTAAGACCGCTTACGCTGTCCAGAAGCCCTACGCTGCTTCGGGGGTCCTATATGTCCACCTGCGGGTCAACGTAATCGTTAAGGGGCCTTCTACGTCACCTTTGATTTTTTTTTTGCATTTGATCGGAGGGCCCTCCGCTGTTGCTGGGGCCCTTCCTGCTAGCGTGCCGGGACACTCATCGTAATCAGGAACCTCACACAGATTTTTTCCGTGTGCCCGAAATGTTCCATACACTCAAGCCTGGGGGCCCCATATGTTGACATACCGGGACGTCCTTGTTAGCTCAGGGGTCCTTCACGTTGGTCACGCTTAACCTACCGGCACACTCACGATATACTCATGGGCCATCCACATTGGCCTAGGGCCCTTCAAGTTTTCTGTCACTTACTTAGGGCCCTACTCTCTTGTCTGGGGTCCATCTGTTAACCTTCTTGGCTCTCTCGGTCGTTCGGGGCCGTCCAGATTGGGTCTTGGGTACTTCTTATTTAAATGGAGCGCCCTATACACCTATCGGGGCCCCCATCCGTTCACCCGCTCGGGTGCACTGGATTGTTCGGGGGCCCTTCTCATTGGGTTTTGGTATTTGAATGTAAGGTCCCATGCCCTTGTCGGGGCCATCCGATAGCCTCCTTGGGTACACTCGATCTTTCGGGGGTCGTCAACACTGGGTTTTGGGCACCTCTTATTTGAATGGAGGGCCCTGCACTCTTGTCGGGGCTCCATTTGATAACCCGCTCGGGCACACTCGATCGCTCGGGGGCCCTCCTCATTGGGTCTTGGGTACTTTCTATCTGAATGGAGGGCCCTACACTCTTGTCGGGGGCCCCAAATGTCAACCTGCTCGAACACACTCGGTCGTCCGGGGTCTTGGGTGTCACACATTGGGTCTTGGGTGCTTCCTATTTGAATGGAAGGCCCTACGCCCTTGTCTGGGGTCCTATCTGTTAATCTGCTCTGGCCCACTCGATGATTTAAGGGGCCTTCTACATTGTGTCGTGAATATTTGTTATTCGAATGGAGGGCCCCACGCTCCTGTCGGGGGCCCCATCTGCTACCTTGCTCGGGCACACTCGATCGTTCGGGACCATCCACATTGTGTCTCGGGTACTTTCTCTTTGAACTGAGGGCCCTGCGCACTTCTCGGGGGCCATTTGTTCACATTTTCGGGCACACTAGATTGTTCGAGGGCCCTGCACATTGGGTCTTGGTATTGGAATGTAGGGCCCTACGCCGCTGTCGGAGGCCATCTCATAGCCTGTGAGGGTACACTCGATCTTCCGGGGGCCCTCCACAATGGGCTTGCGAAATTGTTATTTGAATGGAGAGCCCTACGCTCTTGTCAGGGCTCCTTTTAATAACCTGCTCTGGCACACTTGAACGTTCGGGCTCACCTACATTGGGTTTTGAGTACTTCCTATTTGAATCATCACATTTTACGGAGCGACATCGACCCAAATTCACGGAAAGCATCGACGAATAGCGTCGTTTGACGACCGATGGACAGGAAGCGGTTCCACAGACGAACAGCGGGACGTGCCACCAACAAGCACGAGGGGCGTTCCACCGACAAGCACGAGAGGCGTGCCACAGACGAGCACGAGGGCGTGCCACAGACGAGCACGAGGGGCGTGCCACCAACAAGCACGAGGGGCGTGCCACCGACAAGCACGAGGGGCGTGCCACCGACAAGCACGAGGGGCGTGCCACAGACGAGCACGAGGGGCGTGCCACCGACGAGCACGAGGGGCGTGCCACCGACAAGCACGAGGGGCGTGCCACCGACAAGCACGAGGGACGTGCCACCGACAAGCACGAGGGGCGCGCCACGGAGAACGCACCAAAAGCGCAGAGGCAAGTTCCACGAAAGGACAGAGAGACAGTCGCATCGAATACGGACATGCAGCAGGCAGAGAAATGCCGCTCAGACGGACCGAGGGACGAACCAAGCATCACTCTGATGTAGAGGGACATGCCACAGACAGAGGGGTAGCGCCTCCGATGGATAGAGGGACGTACCGCGAACGGACAGAAGGAAGCACTACAGGTCGACGGACTGCGCACCAGCCACGGGCGTTCTAAAGACGCACGGAGGGGAGGGGTGTATTGCTCGCGGTTGGTCACTAAATTCAAGTTGGGGGAATAAGCGTGAATGTGCAGAAAGGTGCACTGCAGACAAACAGAGGGTGTTTTTCACCCGTATAATGCTTGCCACACACAACCAGAACCGCAAGTGTGTCGTCTATAACGACATTCATTCACCGGATCTACTAGCAGCAAGCACTGTACTCACTCAAGGAAACACTGAACAAAACGCTGGAGGTTCTTGGCATTGATTTTGCTTTTCAGCCGCTGCTGAAAGTCCTTGATGAGCTTCTCTCTTGTGGATGGATCCATGTCGCCATCAAGTTGCTGGAAACGCACATAATGACGTCAGTGGATGAATGGAAATGTCAGGCTGGTTGAGGATGCGTGATTGCAATTGCCTTAGGGCTGCCAGCGTGTGAGATTTCACTTTTTGATGTAAATTATTCTGCTGGTGTTGTTTGGAATAATTCAAAAACAGCATCGATTACCGCGGTCGGTACTCACAAGACAGTCAAGAAATAGTTACATATCTGGAAGCACTGAAGGCTGAAATGCAGCTAAGACAAACAAGAAGTGGTCTTTTCGCTGACGACACGATTGGACTACACCCAATAAATGACCAATCACATGATTGGTGGCAAAGGCTTTTTAGCTGCTTATACTGTTGCTAGCGTTTTTATACTGAAACTTTTATTCCGTTCTATAAGCTGAAGTAGCCACACACGGTGGTCACTCCGTGGAGATGCTCGGTGCAATACTACTCCTGTTGCGTTTCGTGACAAAAATATTTGCTGACCATGCATGTCTACAAAACAAACGCGCATGTTCCTTAAAAGGCAGAAGTAACACCTCTGAAAAGGCAGATTGAAAATGTTGCATGTCCATGTTGCATGTCTGCGTGCGCAAGACAACTTCGTCGATGCCACCACGACGATCCAAACGCACCACGTGCCGCGCCGTGGTGCGTCGGCTGCGGCGGCGTCCTCCACCGCCCGGCCGGCCGGGACCTTACCTCGCCCCCTCCAGGTCAGCACAGACGCCGCGCCAGGGACCGGACTACGCCCCACCACCGACACACAAGGACAGACCAGACCGCCAGCGCTAGCGAGCAGCAGCAGCGGCGGCGGACGCGGCGGGCGCGGCGGGCCCACGGACAAGCGGCCCCGGTCAGGCGTCAGTGGAAGCCATGCGGCGGCAGGCGGGGCGCCCGGCCGCTGTACGTTACCTCCTCCAGGGTCTGCGGGAACCGGCAACAGAGAAAACACGAACAGTGGTCAGTGTGTGGCCACGGCGGTGGCGGGCGGTGCGACCGTGCGGGCCGCACACCGCCGCCCCCGGCCGAGAGCGGTGCGGAGTGCGAGGTGCGCTCGGTGCCACGACTCATGCGCCGCACGCGCCCGGCTCGACCCCGCTGCGGTGTGGAACGACGCGGCCCTTTGGCGTGTTCGTAGCCCGGCCGTGCGCTGGTGGGTGACGGGCACGACGGGCTATTTTCGACACGGCTGCCCCGTGACAGGCACGGGATTGTCGTCGCAGCCGTAAGGGTGTTCGTGCGGCTCTGGGCCGTGTCTTCAGACCGTGTTGTCCGGAGTGACTCGACTTTCAGGGCTACCTGAGCTCCAACATTCAGGTACGCCTCTCTCCGCGGAGCCGCCGCAGGTAACAAGCGACTAGGTTTGACCTTTCCACCGCGCTACGTCGTCGGATGATTAAGGTGTGTGAGGAAGCCTGCGGTGAGTGAGCTTTAGTGTCGTTTGCGCAAGATGGGATTTGAATCCGTGATCCAAGATTTAACTCCTCGGATGGATCTCCATCCACAAGAATCCCTCGTGGACAGAAGCTCAACCACTTTGATTAATGTACTAGGAAGCAATGTGCTTGAACGCAGGGTCAACGGCTAACTACATCGATGAATGCACTGGAAAGTCTTGTGTATGGGTTCAAAGTGTTAACATGGACGGACCATGTAGAGCCGGGTGCTTTGCGTAGGCAACATTTCCCCTCCCAGCTGGAAGTGACCCGGGCCCCCCAGATGGGCCACGGGAAGGGGCCCCGGCGACACGGCGTCACGACAAGGGCACATCTGTGCCACAGCGACCGCACGCGGCGGCCACACCGGCCAGCGGCGGTGCCCAGCACTAGCACACACGGATACGACAATGAGCTGCAGCGCAAGCCAACACAAAACAAACCGTCGACAGAGCCACAAGGCTGGTAAGCCTCGCGAACACCCAGCGGCAGGTAGTCACGAAGCGCATGGGGCAAATAGCGCCGTGTCATATACGCCGTGTCATATACGCCGTGTCATACACGCCGTGTCATATACGCCGTGTCATATACGCCAGCAAATGGGCCATCGGACCATAGGCTAGCGGCCTATCGAAAACACACTCAGCAAGGCATGATAATGCACTTAAAATGAGCTGAAAAAGCAGTGTCACCGTCAAACTTGCATTAGCAAGGCACAAGCTGTTTGTTTTTCTGGCGGACTGCACGAAAGGCTCGCTTGCTAACGTAGCTGATGGCCAGGCATTATAGATAACGTAAGCGGTTCAGCACTTGCCTTTGACGGCACAGCGTACGTTTCCCAAAGAAAAAATCATGAGACATAGCTCACAGAAAGCGGGTACCTCGTAGATAATATATGATATCTGAGGTAAGGAAAGAAGAAAAGCGTAGAAACGCAATATTTCCATGTGCACGAAGTGGGAAGCATTTAAAGAACTAACGGTAGAGGTGGTAACAGCAAACCCTTTGCTCCAAACCCCACGATGTCTATACGATCTAAAAAGAAGTGCGATTGCGACAGCCCGATTACACCAGAGAAACGCATCGCTCATGTGGTAACAGCTTTGGTCGAGCGTCAGCGCTTACAAGATTGAATTATTTTTCCACAATAGCTAACGCAGTTTAGATAAACACAAACCCTGCGTCGCGAACGTCGCCCAGAATGAGGACAACGAGACGACAGACACCGCGAGCGCGTCACGACAAAGCCACACTTAGCCAAAGTCACCAGGCTCACAACATCGACACGTTCAAACGAATGCCCTGAGCGGCCGACGATACTTACGCTGCCGAATCGGTGGAACACCAGGTACTGCTCGGCGCTTGGGTGGTGGCCGATCGAGCTCAGCTTCCAGTTCATGAACTGAAAGTCACAGATCATCAACAGATTAGGCAACACAAAGTATCTTTGCGACAATGTAGCGATGCGTTTTGAAACTGGGTGACAGCGACGACATCAAGGGAATTTGTACGGAATTTGGCATGCTGCAGACGCGGCACCGTTTGTCAGAAAGACAAAACTGGCAAAGGTTGACGGGAGTCGCTTCATCCGTGATGTAGGCGTGGCTGCCACATTGTAGGTGCAAACGGCGCCAAAAAGGCACCTTAGGAGCATTTTACTCAACCAGAAATGGAATTCAACACCGAGGCTGACGCAGTGCTACTTTGCATGCCTTCTGCTGAGATGAGCGAGCACTTAGTTCGATCAACAGGCGCAGGTGGTCCGTTCAGGTACATGACGCAGTGCGTTGCTCTTTGCTGAGCGTGTTGCATCAGCCGGGGGCAGCTGGCGGGCGGCACCCAGCCCCCCCCCCCCCCCCCCCCCCTCCTCCAACGCCAGACCAGCACCCAGCACCACTGCGGTGGAGTCCGTTCTGACGCACGGGGCGCGTGATGACTTGTACATGCTCAAATCGATTTCAGCATGTCACACACATTCAAATTAATGTTCGATTCCGACCGACGAAACGGGACTACTGCGGCATAACCAATAAGTCCGTTCTAAAGTGAAATGATCAACAAGCTAAATACACGCTCAATACGCACTAACTCAGTGGAAGAAAACACCATCACGAGAAAACGTGACTTCATCTGGGCCATATCGCAAAATTGTCCAATGGCAAGTCGTACTTGCCAACTCATTGCTGTCAACCCAAAGAAGCGGCACAGCCTTGACGGCAATTTACATCTCCAAGGGAATCCAATGCTATCATCAATCAGTTCAGCTGAATCGCCACTCAGGCCTGCCGCCCAGGGACCACGCGCAGCGGCCCGATACAGCGGCGGCGCCCCTCCCCATCTCTGGCCGGGCTGCAGTTGGCACCCCGCCAACTGGCGGCCGTGGCCGCGGGCTGCGTACTGCATAGCGCAGAGCTACGCCGGCTCGGCCTTCCCGTAACAAGCCGGCAGCCGGTCTGGCTGACAATGCACCGCTCACAGTGCAGCAAGCGAGAGGCCCGGCGAGACAGCGACAGTCTGCGGTCCTGACCAGCAGGCGACCTCCGGAGCGGCAGTGTACGGTGTGGGTCAGGGAGTTCAGGCGGCAACAGTCTGCAGTTTGGACCAGTGAGGGCCTCACACACATAACTCTGCAGCCTGAAGCAGCAAACGTCTCCCATTGAAACGGACCGGGCCAGTGAGTGGTCTGTAGTCTGGACAATGACGGCAGGCAGTCCGGATCAGCTAGCGGCTATCAAACGGCGGCAATCTGCAGCCTGAATGAGCTAGCGGCCCTCAGACTGCGATTGCTGATGTTAAGACAATGTAGTCTGGACCAGCGAGCGGTCTTCAGACAGCAATGGTCTGTATTCCAGACCAACAAGGGACCATCAGACAGCGATTGTCTAATCTGGATCCACGGTAGGCCCTCAGACAGTGATACTCGGCAGTTCAGACTATAGGGAAGATCTAGGAGAGCGACAACCTGCAGGCTGGACCGGAGCGATCGGATATCAGACCGAACCTGTCCTTCATGTGGCTCCGGAACGTGTAACTCATTCATTGAGACTGTAAGAGATCTAAGAAGAATGTGACATAGTATTCAGATTTATATTCAGGCCAACTAATCGGAGCTTTCAGCCAGTACGGTCTACTTAGGTCTACTCCTGAGTCGCCTACATTTTCAAACGAAATTCGACTTTGACGGCTAGAATACCTGGTCGATTCCAGAGTCGACTCCGACCTTTCACACAGGTAAGCATGCGTCTGCTTTCAACAGCGATAGCCCGTAGTCTAGATCTGCGAGAGGCCCCGCCGGACGGCGATAGGCTATAGTCTAAACCATCGAGCCGCGCTCAAAAGTAATTTTCTGTGGCAATACAAGCGAGAAGATAGCAAGATCGCACAAAAGACCAGTTTGGGCCTACGATAGATAGCATACGACCAGCATACTGGGAAGCCGGGCGCCAAAATGAGGCCCAGGAGGCACACCCCCACAGCATTGGCGGTACCCAGTCATAGCACACCACCACACCCTCCCCCGTCCGGTCTGTGGCCGTCAGGCTCGCACACTCTACCTTGTCGTTGAAGTACTCCATGATGCCAGCCTTGGTGGAGGTGCAGTGGACCAGAAGGAGGCCCAGAACACGGTCCGGGTATGCCAGCCCGAAGCGGGTCAGGATGTTCGCGCCGGCGCCCTCCGCCAGGCCGATCACCATCTTGACCTGCAGCGTGTCCAGCACCTGCACTAGCTCTTCGCCCAGCTGCTGCATGGTCGGGTACCGGAAACTGCGGCGCACGCGACGCGGTCACTTCAGAGCTCGGGCCCCGACGCTACCGCCAGCGGCGGAGCCCAGGGCCCATCGGCCGCACAGGTGACAAAGACAGAGCATCGCCGACAGAGCGTTTCACGGTGTACAGTCTGCAGAGTTCATGAGCAGCAGCGTGAGGGCTGTGCACTCACGTGGTGTCCAGGAGAACCACGGATCTGACGCAGAATAACCAACATGGCGGGCAAACTTTATACGGGATGGAAATTGTTACGGGATGTTGGCTGAAAGACTCTCTGTCCAAAATCTCAAGAAGGCATGGAGGAACACCGGAAGCATAAGGACAGCTGTGGCATTGAGAGCTGTTACTGACGATGCGAAGAGATTAAATGATGCTCATCGCGTGCAGTTTTAATGGTGCCGTCCATCTAGGCTATAACAAAAATATCTAACAACAGCTTGCCCGGAAACATGAAACAAATCACCCAGATTACGGCAAAAGTATTTGACGGTCGCTTATCAGGGAACACGCCCAGTCGCCACTGTTTTTGCGATCGCTATCAGACAACTGTTCCATATCCCGCACTCATGGAGGTACGGAGAGGCCGGTGGTGCGAGCGACACTCTGCATGCGTTCACGCAGCAAAGCGTCAGCAGCCGTGCCAGCCTGTCCATCCGGCCGAGCCGACCGAGAGCTGACCGGGAGCTGACCGGGAGCCGACCGGGAGCCGGCCGGGAGCCGGCCGGGAGCCGACCGAGAGCTGACCGGGAGCCGACCGAGAGCTGACCGGGAGCCGGCCAGCCGAGCATGACCCCGGCCGGCCGGCGGAGCGTCACAACAGCTCGCGCTATTGTGCCGGCCGAGCTCGGCAGAGCGTGTCCGCTCGACCGAGCCGCGCCCCGGCCGCCTACACGGTGCGCCATTAGTCCGGCCGGCCGCTTGACGCTATCGACTGGCGAGCGCGCACCGGCCCTACCCGCCTGACTGACGCGTCGGCGCTGAAGATGCGACCGGCCCCGGACGGAGGGCTCTCCGCCGGCCACTCAGCTCGCGCCCGGTCGCTCAGCGGCGCCCGTACGCCGGCGCGGGGTGCGTGACGCAGTCCGAGCCGACGGCCCACACGATCGGTGCGTGTGTGGCGCGCTGTGCCCTGTGATACGCCGCTATCGTCCGTGACCGCGTGCCAGCTGGGGCGCGCCGCGTGCTAATCGATGTCGGCAGCGACAGATGCGGCGCACTCTACCGCCGCAGATTAACGGCGCGGTCCATGAACAGACGGTCAGCCGGTATCTCCAGCGCTCACGCGGGACCCGCCCACTAGCACCGGCCGGTGCGACACAGACTCAGACGGCGCTGCTGTCCAACTGATGGCGTTGTGGGGGGATGGGAGGAGAACAGCAGTCAGATGATCAAGCGAGGCGCGACACCCAGCCCCGCGGTACGCCGAGGTCTCGGTTAAACGCCACCTGTGAGGTGCCGCCGGGGAGCGAGCCACCAAGCAACGCAGGTCACCAGGTGATGCGCCAGCGGGAACCGAGCCCCCAATCTCTGGCGCGGATGTCTTGGAGTCACATCCGAGAGACCCGTATACAACGGACGTTCGAACATCTTAGGAACTGCCCCTAATCATGGGGATGACATTGGGACTTAGAGGGCGCACCAACGGCCTAGGTCATTTTGCAGCCATCTTAGGAACTGACACGGCGCCCTCAACGCAGGTCTGTGTTAAGGGCGTAAAAAAGGCGGATGGAGACCCCAGGAAGCGAATACAAGCCACCAGACCCTCGTGCGGAGCTGACGTCGCCGGCCGACTCACTCATCCGGCAGGTCGGGGGCAGTACAAGCCACCAGACCATCGTGCGGAGCTGATGTCGCTGGCCGACTCACTCATCCGGCAGGTCGGGGGCAATACAAGCTATCAGACCATGGTGTGGAGCTGATGTCGCCGACCGACTCACTCATCCGGCAGGTCGGGGGTAATACAAGCCATCAGACCCTCGTGCGGAGATGATGTCGCCGGCCGACTCACTCATCGGGCAGGTCGGGGGCGTCATCCTCCTGTCCCGGCAGGTCCACGTGGATGAAGATTGACCTCTCCTTGATATCTTTCATCACGGGGTGCTCCACAAAGTCATGGAAGGACGTGTCTGGAAACGTTCACGAACAGGCATGAGCAATGGACATGGACCGCAGTCACAAGCAAAATTCGCAGTCAGAATCTGAGTCGTGGCCCCTTGAGCCTAGTCGGCACTTTATTTTTCTTTTTCGCGAGTGAGTCAGCAACAACAAATGCATTACAACAGCTGACCGAATTCCAGGCGTGCGGCGCAGACAGCCCGTACACAACTGAGCAGCCACTGGAGGCTCACGATGCTCAATATGTCACCTCACGGCCCGCTGGCACTACCAACCTCTGGGGAACTACTCGAGAACTGCAAACAGCATTTGGCGAGCGTAAGATATACCGTGTGGAGGATCAGAGCAAGGTCCTGGCAGAGGTGTAACACGGTAATGGCGTGCTTGCAGTTATGTTTGCACTTGTATTTTTACTTGCATTGTATTTGTATGCATTTGAAATCAACCCACGGAGGGCTTTTCAAGTATTGGCTTCGTAGCAACGTTCGGTACGTTCGGTTCGTTCAACACTATGACGTCAGACACCAAAATACCCAAGAAGTCAAGATACAAATCTAACAAATCTGTCAGTTACGACCAAAAAAAGTGTCAAACTCAAAGTACGGATACAAAGATGCTGTGTGGAATGACATGAAATGACATAGTATGATATGATACAGTACGACATGGTTAAGTGTGTTATTATATAGTTCGATTACGGTACGATACGGTACGGTACGGTACGGTACGATACGACACGACACGACACGACACGACACGACACGACACGACACGACACGACACGACACGACACGACACGACACGACACGACACGACACGGTACGGTAGCACGAATGCCGACAATCTGACTGCGAAGTAATAGCAACCGTTGCTGTTAACGGGGTGACGGAAGCGCCTGCGCAGTCACTGGGGTGGCAGCCATTTGGGGTGGCGCTGCCGGCTGATGGCTGCGAGGGACGGGGGGAGGGGGGGACTGAGTGGGGTGGATAATGTTTGACGTCCGCTGTTTCCATGTGGTGCCATACTTAGCTTGCCATGGTCAGTTTGACCTCCCCCTGAGCCCGTGTTAGTGCGTCCGGACGGATAATGAGGGCGCAGAAGTAAGCATTACGACTGTGGAGAGTCCTTTCTGACCATTCTGTTCCCCCACAAGAGTCGTGGTCACCGTTCATCGTTATGTCACCGATCAACATTGGTCTATCCGTGGCCTACAAGAACGATAGTTTTTTGCTTTCTTTCACAGTGTGCTTCTGGCTTAGATTAAGTCTTTAGGTGCAGCTGTGGAACGAAAGCATTCCAGACACAAACATGCCATTTTGGGCAGACCTAAAGGTCAGCTGAGGTCGACTTGGTCAAATTCATTAACAATGTGACAGACAAGACAGTAGCAGTAGCCTTTCTCCTCAGAGAAAAACGAAGAGAATGGAGACATATATGGGTTGGTATTTCGGTCACATGCCTTTATCGAACTATTTACGAAAAATGGCAAAACTGACCCGAACTAAGATCACTGACCTCACCTGTTTTGAAAAACTGAACTATACAACTTTTACGTAATATCAAGTTGTAATACTATCGCAAGTTTGAGCAATGGGAAATAAAGCAAACAAAAAAACTGTACGTGATCAATTTTTCACCACTTGACTTCTTCGACCTGATCTAGGTCACTGACCTCGACATATAAAAGCTTCTAATTTGCACAAAGGATGTCAAATTGATGGATAAAAGGGGCGCTAAAAATTCAATGCTGCTCCAAGAGTTTGTTCGTGAGCTGTGCTAAAAAAAAGACGTAGGGGGAAGTCAACTTCCCCGGCCGAGCGCGGGTCACGGGATGCCCTCCTAGTGGGGTCGACCCCGACATTCCTGTCACATGAGACGTCAGCAGTAACAAACCACACGATACGAAATACGACATCACCACTTAATTCTGACAGGACGGTGTGATACAGATCTGATATGTTGTTAAATTACGCATGACATGAGGACAAACGACAACTTCAACTACTGCAAGCCATTAATTCATACCGGCTGTCAAATCGTAACCATTCCTAATTGCGTTGTTGCTAATGCCTTTGAGACTATTACAAATTGCCCTACCGTTACCACACTGGTTTTTTAAGACCTGTTGAGCAGTCGCTTTACTAAAACGTTGTGTCTTTAACATAACACGGTTCCAGCCGACAAATTTTTTCAGCATCAGAGAAATAGAAAGAGAGGGAGAGAGAGAGAGAGCGCGTCGCCAGTGAGCGCTGAGGCGCCAGTCAGCTGGCCACCGAGACGTGATTGGCTGGCGGATGGAGTCAGCGCAGACATGGGAACCGGACCTCTAGCGGCCGCGGCGTCCCAGCCGTCCCCTAATCAATGTGGGGACCCCGCAGCTAGAGGCGCATCGAATCACCAAGCTGCTGTAGGCGGACTGCCGGGTGTGGGGGGGGGGCGGACGGAGAGAACGGAAGGCGGAGAGGTCACTAATGAAGACAGAGACAGACCCAAACACACATCACATATGTATGTATATATATATATATATATATATATATATATATATATGTGCGTGCGTGCGTGCGTGCGTGCGTGCGTGCGTGCGTGCGTGCGTGCGCGTGTGTGTGTGTGTGCGTGCGTGCGTGCGTGCGTGCGTGCGTGCGTGCGTGCGTGCGTGCGTGCGTGCGTGCGTGCGTGCGTGCGTGCGTGCGTGCGTGTGTGTGTGTGTGTGTGTGTGTGTGTGTGTGTGTGTGTGTGTGTGTGTGTGTGTGTGTGTGTGTGTGTGTGTGTGTGTGTGTGTGTGTGTGTGTGTGTGTGTGTGTTACCATAAATATGTATGCATGCCCCCCCCCCCCTCAGACGGCGATAACATCACTGCTTGTTTAATTTGATCATACAATGGCGAGAAAATTTGGGACTGGCCCCCAGCAACGAACGATAGACCCGCACTTGCACAGGTTAAATGAGGCCTAACCGGCACGTGTCATATCCCTATCATGGGTCAGCGTTTATGATGGCTGTATCGCGCCTGTCAGTCAGCAACAAGGCGTCAAACACGATGGGGCATCAGCATCCCGCGGCCCGGCTGCAGCACATGACTCGCATTTTTCGAGCGACCAAAAATCAAAGTAAGAATTAAGAAACTAAGAAAACTGATCTAGCATCTCATTATGCTTTACCGCCCAGCGGCCACTTAGGCAATAGCCACCATCAAACGCCTGGGCATCAAATGCAACGGAATGGGATGGAAATATTGCCTTAGGTCACCGACGATGCGTATCAGATTTTATACAGCTGGTATTAAAGGGAATGTTTCACATTTGAAGATATTGAAGCAAGCATCAGATATGATGAATCAAGGTCCTTTATAAATATTGGCATCCTTTTTAAGTAGAAAAGACAGCTCTAGACAGCACAATTCTCTGTTTAATAAGTATGCACCTCAATGCGTTATGGTTTGATTACGTCATCGTACCTTGTACATAATTTATTGAAAGCCAGTTGACGGCCGTTATATCTGGAAATCGTGCTCACGAATGCCAGATATGAACACCTCGACTATTATATCTATTTGGCCTTGGTCGCCGCTTGGCTTAGGGGATGACAGGATTTGAATGGCATCATTATGACGCCATGAATGCCAAGTGGCGTGTAGATAAAAAAACTAGACGAGCTTAGGTCTTAAGACGGACAATATTGTGAACAGCAGCGAAAGGTCTTCAAGACGGTTGCTTCAGTTTAAAGCTCCATATCAATGTGGAATACTTCTTTTGACAAGTCTCGGACGGCGAGAAGCAGCCAAGCTACAGCAGTCGAATATGATAAGGCGGACATAAAAGCCATTCAAAGTTTTTAAAATATCCCAAAGGCTTCGACATGAATACATCACCAGAGCATTGAATTTTGAAAAGGGCTTCGACGCAGACTCAGTCAGAACGTGTCGAGGCCTTACAGGGAGGTTTAATGTGAAAAACGTTTCCCATTCAGGACGTACCAAGGTCTTACAGGGAGCTTTTAATTTGAAAAAAATGCCAAGGTTTCGTTCTATGCGTTGTTCATAGGCACACGGTTCCAGAAATGTACAGGTTCGTTGATAAGGACAATTGCTTGCAAAGGGCCCGACGCTATATGAGACACGCAACATTGATGATTAAGTCGTAAACCTATTTTCAAATCAGACGGCAATCATCCGTATATCTTGTACTCACGAAATGACACTTCACCACAAACTATGTCAAACTCACGGCATTACATTTCAGTCACAGTCACCCAACGCAACGATTTCAGAAACCACGTCACCATGCCAAAAGATGATATCCCACCTAAACCACCACAAAATATGTTGGCATTGTTCATGCTATCAGGGGCAGGATCATCAGGTACAGCGGGCATCAGAGGCAACACCGGCTGAACCCACAGCCTGAGATACGGCCCCAACGAACAAAGAGCGCCATCTGGATAAAGGGGATCGCGAAAAACCACGCTGCCTCTTGAGCGTACGTTGGCAACCGGCCATGGCAACCATGCCGTAAACACAAAAAGAAACGATGTGCGAAAGGAAGAATTGCACCAAAACTCTACAAAGGAAAGGCGGTTACACCAAAATAGCGTCCAGCTGACGAGACGCACGACCGTTGCCAGCCGGCCGTGGTGTACGGTTGCCAGACGGCCGTGGTGTACGGTTGGTAAACACCGAATGGCCTTTGACGTCGACAGCCCCGTCTTACTTACGGTTACATCCAAGGTCGTGCACTGTGAGAAACACAGCCTTCCTGTCCTGCAGCGAGACATCGCCCTGCAACGGTCACACACGTTAGACAACGCACACGGTCACCCTGCTGCACCCCTGGTCAACCCCAGCCACGCTGGTTCATCCGTGACACAGTGCTTAAAAGTCAATATGCGACCCGACTGCGGCTGGGTTGCGTTGTGTCGCACTTACGGGCCCTTTCCGCCAAACACTCAGTTTAAGGAGTCAATTCGTTTGATAGTACCGACATATTCCGCGAATGTGGTAAATTTTGTGGAACTGACGATGTAATCTTTAAGTTCTTCAATTATGCGTGATGAGCACTATCCGTCAGAAACTCTCTTAACAACGATAGTCAGTACAAATGGTTGTAAAGCGAACCAGCTCCGAGTAAGAAACAGACGGTGGCTGTAAAGAAGACGCGCTCGCGTGCAAAACTGCGTCTGGTCGCTACAATGGTGGTCCAATCCGCGCACAAAACTGCACCTAGTGGCTTAAAACACGTAGGTACAACACTGCACCTGGTGTCTGCGACGTTGATTCGCTCTACTCATGGGACTGCACATCGTGACTGTGGAGTAGACCTATCCCGCGCAGGTATAGCTGCACCTTGTGGTTGTGAAATTGGATCGTTATATGTCCACGATTACGTCCGGTAGTGACACTGTCTTACGTCCGTTACGCTCACGAGACTGCATATATTGTGCCTGGAGAGCAAATGAAACCCTCCCGCGTACGCCAGACGACATTTAATGACAGTGAAGCTCGCATACAGAGCGAACTTCGTGCGCCGGACACTCCCATATACTGGACTGCATCGCATGGTTGGGTGGACGTATCCGCATACCAAACTGTCTCTGTGTACGTAGCTGGGTCATGCAATTTTCGTTGTCCCGTGTACTGGGCTGCATCAAGCGGCTGCGGCGCAGACTCGTTTTGAGCGCACGACTGCACCTACTGGCGTTCAGATTGATCCGCTTAATGCGTCACAGTCAGGACTGAGCATTGCCAGCATGGATTTCACTCGTTCTTGCTTAATATGCTCAAAAGGGTTTTATTCCGGGCAGACGGCAGGTTGTTTAGGTGTGCTGTTCTAATGAAGGGATCCAAACGTCGCCTGCATGAAATGACACTGATCGACACTAAGTCGGACCTGGAGACGCTCCGACATGGCGTCCTTGCTTCCAGAGGGGCCCGCCAGGCCGGGTCATCCGACTTAGCGTCTCTCTCCGCAGACAGGGCTCGTGCTGCTCCGACCCTTGGACGGGAGTGCCCGGCCGCTGCCTGCCGCGCCGCGCGCCGCAGTGCGCCGCGCTAGCACACCTACCTGGACGTAGACCGTCAGCGCGCCGCAGTGCGCCGCGCCAGCACACCTACCTGGACGTAGACCGTCAGCACGCCGCAGTGCGCCGCGCTAGCACACCTACCTGGACGTAGACCGTCAGCACGCCGCAGTGCGCCGCGCCAGCACACCTACCTGGACGTAGACCGTCAGCACGCCGCAGTGCGCCGCGCCAGCACACCTACCTGGACGTAGACCGTCAACACGCCGCAGTGCGCCGCGCTAGCACACCTACCTGGACGTAGACCGTCAGCACGCCGCAGTGCGCCGCGCCAGCACACCTACCTGGACGTAGACCGTCAGCACGCCGCAGTGCGCCGCGCTAGCACACCTACCTGGACGTAGACCGTCAGCACGCCGCAGTGCGCCGCGCCAGCACACCTACCTGGACGTAGACCGTCAGCACGCCGCAGTGCGCCGCGCGAGCACACCTACCTGGACGTAGACCGTCAGCACGCCGCAGTGCGCCGCGCCAGCACACCTACCTGGACGTAGACCGTCAGCGCGCCGCAGTGCGCCACGCCAGCACACCTACCTGGACGTAGACCGTCAGCGCGCCGCAGTGCGCCACGCCAGCACACCTACCTGGACGTAGACCGTCAGCACGCCGCAGTGCGCCACGCCAGCACACCTACCTGGACGTAGACCGTCAGCGGGCCGCAGCTCTTGGTGTCAATCACGTGCTTCTGCAAAGAGGAAAACAACAATTAGGACACAGTCGTGGTATAAGGCGAAATCAAACTGTTAAGAAAGGGAAATACTTTTACATATGCCTGGACCGTTCTGGAATATCAACTTGAGTCCACCTAGACCAATCGGGGCCCCAATGGGCACCACGATCTTGTTTTTTTCCCGAAAACCGCAGCCTCTCGCGTCGAAGTCATCCACGCCCAAGCATGTTTGCCGTCGAATAGAGCCTGCCAGCAGGCAGAAGGCAGTGAAGTGTCCAATGCTGGCGGACGTAGGTAACAAGCGCCCAGCATCTGCCGAACGATGTAATGTCAGCTTGACCTTTCGTTCTGAAGGGAACAGCCTTGCTGCCCGTCTCAAGACCGTCGGAGAACACCAGAAATGCACGCGATGTCGGCGTTCGGACCGCAAGTCACCTGGTCCAGATCACCGACACCAAGCGACTGGACATCATCGACACCAGGCGACTGGACATCACCGACACCAGGCGACTGGACATCACCGACACCAGGCGACTGGACATCACCGACACCAGGCGACTGGACCGGGCACCACGCTACCGCGCTCTGAACGCCAGGTGTCAGACATGCAGGGAACTCGTCGACAGCCACAAGTAAGGGGGCACTGCACCAATGCCAAATGGAACAAGCCCACTCACGTGGCGCGCGTCCCAAAACGCCGGGGACGCGGCGCACGGGCGGCAAAACCCGAGCCGACGGATGCACCGCGCGCCGGCCGCGCCTACCATTATCCGCACGGCCCGCATCCGTGACGTCAGAGGAAGTGCTACTGCTTGTACGGCGACGAGCGCAGCAACACTGGCAATGCCACTCAGCGATGCATCCTGCGGACATGCCACTGGTGCATCGAGATCGTCCTTTGACGTCGGTTTTTACGATCTAGAGTTGTTTGGTGTTAGTTGCGAGAGATTTCCGCTCCTGTCCGCTGATGATAAGTTTGCGAAAAAAGTTAATGCTCCCCTGACATACCCAGCTTAATCCGAGACCAGCGCAACAACTCACTTCTACTCAGAGCCTACACTTCTTGCACTTCTTCTCAGAGCCTAAACGGTCGAAAACACGACTTTTTCTGGTCAGGTGGACTGGCGTTCAAGTCATCGATCGGCGTGGCCAGAAGGGCGGGTGAAGGCGACACGGTGGGTCGGGTGACACGGCTGGGCCCGGCCCTGACAGAGCTGCTGACAGAGCTGCTGACAGAGCTGCCTGCCGAGAAACAGAGCTGCTGACAGAGCTGCCTGCCGCGAAACAGAGCTGCTGACAGAGCTGCCTGCCGCGAAACAGAGCTGCTGACAGAGCTGCCTGCCGCGAAACAGAGCTGCTGACAGAGCTGCCTGCTGCCTGCCGCGAAACAGAGCTGCTGACAGAGCTGCCTGCCGCGAAACAGAGCTGCTGACAGAGCTGCCTGCCGCGAAACAGAGCTGCTGACAGAGCTGCCTGCTGCCTGCCGCGAAACAGAGCTGCTGACGGAGCTGCCTGCTGCGAAACAGAGCTGCTGACAGAGCTGCCTGCTGCGAAACAGAGCTGCTGACAGAGCTGCCTGCCGCGAAACAGAGCTGCTGACAGAGCTGCCTGCTACCTGCCGCGAAACAGAGCTGCTGACAGAGCTGCCTGCTGCCTGCCGCGAAACAGAGCTGCTGACAGAGCTGCCTGCCGCGAAACAGAGCTGCTGACAGAGCTGCCTGCTGCCTGCCCACTGCGTCCAGTACGCAGTGTCTCCACGGTCGTCAGTGGTGCAGGACAAACGGGTGACTTGTTGGCAGCTCGGCCCTGCCAGTCAGCCTGCGGGTGCGTATGGGGGGGGGGGGGGGGGAGGAGGAGAAGGATATGGCACGCCGACGCATTAGCACGTGCTGTCAGTCTGTGTGCGCCTGAGACACCGATGACACGACACCCTCTGACCTGGCGCCCTCGCCGGCCCCAGCACGCCGCTGGCTCGCGTGAGACAGCGCCTCGGCCGGCCCGATGTAACGGCGCGACCAGACATTACGCGTCACGCCCCGTCACCAAGCGAAGTAACTGCAGGTGCCCCGTTACTCAGGCACTGCGCCGAAGAGCCATACCACTCGGGTGTGGCCCGCTCCTCATCGACAAAACGGCTCCCAGTGACGTCACAGACAGCTGTGCCAGGCCCCACACTTTGAACTTCCGGTCGTTCGTGTGTGGCGTAGCCACCTGTGACGTCACAGGTAGCCGTTCGGGGAGCGTCCTCCAGTGACGCCGGTCCCTGGAGTTCACAATGGCGGTGTTTACCTAGCAAACAGAGCACTGACCCGTGAGTGTGTCAGAGCTAGGACACCGGGCCAATATAGGATTTGTAGCCATTTACAGACGTAGGTCGTCATTTAGTTGTTATGGGCGCAAAATGACCTCAGTAGCCGGCGCGCCCTAAAACCCCATCAACAACAACGAGGCAGAAGGTCGCTTCGGACCACAGCCTCACCGGTCACGGTGACAGTGACAAAATGCTGGGTGCCGCTAGCGCAGGGGTTTCACTGCTGGAAAACCAGAAGAGGCACGGGGTTCGAGTGCTCGAGGTGTCCACCCTTCTCGCCAAGGTGAGAGACGGGCGACACCGTATAACCTGGGCTGCTGACTGCGCCGTAAAGCCCCATTGACAACAACAATGGCGAAAAGGTTATGCTAAGCGTAAACCCGCCTTCAAACGATCATAAATTCACAAAGATAAGACAGCAGTTAAAGCTTTATTCCTCGGGGAAACCCAGAATGAAGATATAATCTCCCAGGCATAGGGCTATTGCTACTGTCTCATCTATACGAATAATGTTCCTCGCATGCGCTTAACAACTTACGTAATTTTGATCACGAATTCACAGTCTTCGATTACCTACACTTTCGCGACAGTCCCAAGAAGCGCCCAGAAACCAGACCATTCTCGTCACGCGACCTGACGTTCAAGGCACCGATGCACCCAGCTTGTACTGCCGGCTCTCTGTCACCAGCCGCTCGGCGGCCAGCTGGGCGCTGTCGTGACGAAGTTACCGCCAGCTTCCACCGGCTGACGACTGAGGGCGTCCGCCGGCGGCGCCGCGACGCCCCGCAGACCATGGCTGCTGGACCGGCGGACGGTGGGCGCAGCGGGGCGATGCCCCCCCCCCCCCCCCAAAGGCCAGGGAGCCGCGCCCATCGGCTGTCCGTCGTCGCGACGTCCTCACCCACTCGACGAAGGTGTACACGGCCGGCCGGTTGTCCTCGTACAGCGGCTGTTCGTCCTCCGACTGGCTGTCATCGACCAAGTCCTCGGAGATGGAGCGGGGCATGCCCGTACGCAGCATGGGGATCCTCCTGCGCCGCGACTCCTCCATGGCGACGGTCACCCGGCGACGCTGGCGGCTCGCTGCTGAGACGAGGCGGCGGTGGCGGGGGAGCACGAGACAGCCCGCTGTCACCGCGACAGTCGGCGCAAAACGCGACACGGCGCTCGCCACGTCCCCGAGCACGGCCACTCGCCGCCCAGAGGCGTCTTGCGTCTCGTACACCGGGCGATACCACACACCCCGACACTGGCACCCGGCTGGCGGCTGCCAGCGCCGGCGGCCGGTGCGACCGAGCCGCTCAGACTGCGGCCCCGGGCGGCGCCGGCGCCGGCACGGGTCGCGCGTGTTGCTGCAGCGCGGCACAAACAGAACCCAAGTCACGGCCACAAGGCCCCCGGAGACCCGCCAGGGCACGCGCCGACTCTCCCGCGCCGGCGCCCGCCTTCCGTCGCCGCAGGAGTGCGGTAGCACAGTCCTCGAACGGCAGCTGCTGGACAGCACAAGTCACCACCTCTTGCCGCTGAAGCAGTCCAGAACCACAGTCCTGTGAGCGGCAGCTCCTCAGCGCTGCCCCGGCAGTAGCAGCCGTCGCTCTTCCCGAGGCCTCCGGTCGACGTCAGAGGAAGCCTCTCGGTTCTCTTCCCACCGCACAATCGGCGGGAGGAAGTGGGGGAATGCCGTGCTCGCTGCCCGGCGGCCGCCGCGTGGCCCGTCGCCTTCGGGCACGAGAGCGCCGCGTGTCAGCCCCACCGCCAGTGGCAGTGCCGGACGCGCACCTGGGCGGCCCGAGCCCCAGCCCGCCTCGTATGTGCGAGGTCGCGCGAACGGCGGGCTTGTCACGGCTTGGTCGGCCAGACGTCACGTGACCCCGCCGGCCGGGCGTGCCGCGCACCACGTGACTGGCTGGAGCGGGCCGACGCCTGGCCTTGACGACGCGCCCAGCGCGCCGGCGCTTGCACGCGCGCTGCTGGCATTCCGGAACCGCTAATCCAAACAGCGTCGCGATGAATAAAAACATGGTCCTTCGGCGGGTCCGGCAGCGGATTGGCGGATAGTGCAGGACCTTCGCGGGTGATGGACTTGTGTCGTGTTCAAAAACGTTCCAAATGGGCTTTGAGTGTATGCAGTGCTGAAAGCAATGAAGCCAATTTCTCATCAGAGAGCCCTGCCTGCTGACTAGCAGCTGAGACCACACACAGAGTGGGAGTGTCTGTGAGAGGGGGGAGGGAGGAAAGAGGAGGGGGAAATCGTCTGAGGTTGTGCTGCGGCAACATGAAAAGTAATGGGCGTTCAAAGATGCGATCGTATCAATGACGTTTCCTAGAATTTGTCGAAACATCTCCCTACCATTAAGATGCCTTTACCGGACGTTTCACTAAATACGCGACGTTTTACTTATCCCTAAATATATTCACTCACCAAATATGTATCAATATGTTAATCGATAAATATTCAAATACAACGTGATGAATTTTTACGCATGAGGATCCTTCACCATTTTCTTCTTTTTTTGAATGCGGGTGAAGAACAGGGCCCGAGACGAGACGTGTCAACAGCAAGCCACGCATAAAGGCGCGATGTTTGAGGGTTTCTGGACACTTCGGCTTCGAAACTATTTCACGCACAGGTGATTCATGCATAAAAACTCAACTCTGCATGAACATCAGCTGCCTTGGACCACATTTCGTCATTATAAACTAACCGTCGCTCTAACGATAAACACCGCCACGAGATGGCGTCCCAGACGAGCGGCTAAATCCCTCAGGGCCGTAACAAATCGATATCCATACGTTCAAGAGTAAACGAATCACGTCAGTGCATAATGGGGGGCACTCCCGTAAACAAGCCTACCCCCTCCCCCCCATACCTAGGTCGATGAGAATCATGAGAGCAGTCTTCACTTCCTTAGCTTGCCCAGGCTGATGAACATATCAAACGTACAACGCTGAAATAACAGTCGGCCAAATAACAGTCGGCCACAAAACACGAGCTGAGATTTATCGCTTTCTATAGGAAACACCGAGCATCCGCTTTCTTTTCAGCACGGCCAATCACTGGGAGATCACTCGTTATTCATCGACGTGGCGACCTGTGTCAGCAGGCTACAGTACTGGTTGGGACGAGAGTAAGCATGTCCCGAATGTCATTTGCTTCAGCAATATCTAACTTATTGGTGTGTGGCGATGACATGACAGAATACGAGGGTACATCTGACCTGCAGGGTGAAACCGATATCACTGCGATATTGGTTACCAGCCGATCACAGCCGCAAAGGCGCGAGGCATACGCACGTCGGCAGCTGTCTGGAAGTCGCCACAAGACGAAACAGCTCATGTGTGGCCAAACGTCTGAGCCCTTGAGACCCATTTCCCGACAGAAAGGAAGCCGGGGTCTGCCATTTGCAATGTTCGGAGTCCCTGGCGCAATAAGGGGTTCCTGTGTCGGTTAGAGGCCACGGTGCCAAACAGGGGTCTTGTGGCGGCAAGTGGCCCGAGTCGGAAGGTGTTTGAGAGGGCCTGAAGAGGGGCCGACGGATCTCGGAGACCAAAGATCAAGGGCCCGATGGGACGGCCGAAGGGTCCGCAGGACTGACTGCAGGTCACATTAAGGACCCCCGCCCATAGGACCGCGACCTCAAGTCTCTTGCACCGATAGGGACTCCTGAGAAAGAGCGCTCCTCTGTTTCGGCCAAAGATCACGAACTATGGACGTGACGTGTTGTCAGCTCCGTGTTGGTCGGAGCTTTGGGGGCCCATTTTCCGAGCAGGGACAAGACCAGGCCCGTAATTTACATCGGTCGGGCTCCTGTATCGTTTAGGCGTCCACAGTGCCTAACAAGACAAGGGGTCTCTGTGTCAACAAAGGGCCTCAAATCGGTCAGGGGAAGATTTGTTCAATAGGGACGGGGACGGGAGCCCGAAAAGCAGAGGGTCTCTTGTGCTGGCCAGGGCACTCTGACAATTGAAGGAAACAAGAACCTATGGTGAGTGCTCATACTGAGGTAATAGAAGAGTCCAGTGCCAGTCAGGGGCCCCACTACTAAACGGTGGGCCTCAACTCTTTTCCAGTATGGGGGCCATTAAGCCCAACTTTAGTCTATGTGCTCATTAGTTGACCACCTACGGCAAGCAGGGATGTTGTTGCGTTAACGATGGTTCATGCGCCGACACGGGGTCAACTGCGTGGGTCCGAAGGCCTCCCGCGTTAGGGAGCGGACCAATGTGATATGATGCATCCCTCTCAGAGCCACCGAATCGGCCAGGGGGTGCCGCTCCGTGTCTCCAGAATGACGGTCTGAAAACACATCGCGGTGGGACAGAATGGCCGTTCAGCTCTTGACCGGGAACAACAGTAAGTCCCGTAGTTTTGTACTCAAGGGAGCCCTTCTACGGGGAAGGAATAAGGGGTCTCATTAGAGCTGAATAGAGTGGATCGAAATGGGTTTAAAGCGCACAGGGCCATCCCATGTTCCTCTGAGAACGTTCATTTTTTTGCAGAATCGACTATTGAAACAAACACAATCAAAACGTTTGACCCTGCGTGCCCGATGCCGCTAGTGAAGCGGTTCACGCGCGTGCATTAACCACTGCGCGCCTCGTAAGCAGACGCTGCGCGGACTAAGGAGACTGCAGCGCCTGGCGTCGATTTTTTTGTTGTCTAAGATATGCGGGCACGCATGCTCAAAACTACGTTGCATTATTTGCACCGCTGATCAACTTTAACTGAATGTTGAAAGCATCCAGACAAACATGGCCTGGCCATGTTAACACAGATGGTTGATCCATTTTAATTTTCAATCTATATTCGCGGAATATTTGCTATTTCTGCACAACCCAGATGCAAAATTATGATAACGTTTCTGAGTTCTATCGGTTTAAAGAGTCCAATGGACCATTTTAAAATGGAGAGCGCCGATGATTTACTTCATGCAGTCGTTTAAAGCGTGATTTTGTCCGTTTGTTTTCTATAAAGTCAAGGCAGAATTAATCTCGCGATAGCATGTGGCCTATATTCCAGATATAGAAGGTAAAAATGCGTTTTGTATGCATATATATATATATATATATATATATATATATATATATATATATATATATAAGAAAACATGTCCTCAATAAACATGGGTCATATCCGGTATTTTGGGGGGGAGCTCTTTCATTGCCAGGGAGGGGCCCTTTGTCAGCCCTGTGCCACCCCCCCCTTGCCAAGACTCTGGCTGCGCCCTTGCCTCCCGGGATACGTGCCCCGGTTTGAAGTTATTTCAGGTTTTGATATGCGCACGACTTAATCGTGACAAATGAAAATTCGAGACAGCCTCCAGAAATCAAACAGATAACGAGCACACAATGCTGTTTTAAGCTGTGCAAGAAATCTCGCGCGCCGACGGTCCGCTAACTGCGTTGGGGCAAACACAAGTGATCAGCCGCATCGCAAAATGGCGTTCCCCGTCGACGGTCGAGTCACTCGGGCCTGCAAACGCAGCGCGATTGGATGGTTCCCAGTTCTGCTGGGGGCTCGGCAGATCAGACATCTCCCGCCTGCTCAACGATGTATGCGACTGCTGCAACACGGGGCGGACGGCCCGCTGTCGTCCAATGCATACATCCATGTACGACCGTGGGCCATCCGAAAGTGGGCGGACGGCCCACTGTCGTCCAATGCATACATCCATGTACGACCGTGGGCCGTCCGACAGCGGGCGGACGGCCCGCTGTCGTCCAATGCATACATCCATGTACGACAGTGGGTCGTCTGACAGCGGGCGGACGGCCTACTGTCGTCCAATGCATACATCCATGTACGACAGTGGGCCGTCCGACAGCGAACGGACGCCCCACTGTCGTCCGCCGCCTGGGATCACCTGACCCTGGTCGCCTGGGGCACAAAGCCGGCCCCCGCGCGAGTCCCTTCACACCAGCCGCCGCGGGCGCGACGGCCCCCCGCTGAGCGTCGCGTGACGGGCCGCCGTCTGCCGACCCGCGGGCGTCGTCAGCCGATAGTTGCGACGCCGTCCGCCAGGCGGCGCGGCAGTCGGTGAGCAGCCGGTCCGGTCCGGCGTCGGATTGCAGTGGCGTGCCCGTGCAAGTGACCTCGAACGTTGCCAGGCGCAGAGCGAAGTATGCACTCTGCAACTCGTCCGCACAGAGCCCCAGCGCTGCAGGCCTTGACGTGAACACCTCGCGCACATATAGGGGCCTACCGCGACAGACC